CTACCACGCCCGGCTAATTTTTTTATTTATTGTAGAGATGAGGTCTCACCAAGTTTCCCCAGGCGGGTCTTGAACCCGTGGGCTCAGGCAATCCACTCACCTCGGCCTCCCAAAGGCGTGGGATTACAGGCTGAGTCACTGAGCCCAGCCTGATTTTTTAAATTTATTGTAGAGATAGGTCTCACCAAGTTGCCCAGGCTGGTCTCGAACCCTTGAGCTCAGGCAGTCCTCTCACCTCAGCTTCCCAAAGTGCTGGGATTTAAAAACTTCTTTTTTTTTTTTTGAGTTGTAGTCTCACTCCGTTGCCCAGGCTGGAGTGCAGTGGCACGCTCATGGCCGCCACAGCCTCGACCTGCTAGGTACCGGCGATCCTTCTTCCTCAGTCTTCCAAGTAGCTGGAACTGCAGGTGCGCGCTACCGTGCCCAGCTAATTTTTTATTTATTGTAGAGACGAGATCCCACCAAGTTGCTCAGGGTGGTCTCAAACCCGCAGGCTCAGGCAATCCACTTGCCTCGGCCTCCCAAAGTGCTAGGATTATAGGCTGAGCCACCAAGCCCAGCCAAAAACTTCTACTTTTCAAAAGACACTGTTAAGAAAATGAAAAAGTCACAAATTAAGGAGGAGGATCTTCGCAATGCATATATTTGAAAAGAGACATATCCAGAATATATAGAGAACTTTCAAACCCATAAAAAAGTAAACCCAGTAAGAATAATGAGCAAAAGACTTGAGCACTGTACTAAAGATAATAGAGGCTAATAAGCACATGAAAAGATGCTAAAGAAAATGTAAGTTAAAATCCCAGTGAGATACCAATACAAACCCACTAAAATAGCAAAAATTAAAAAGGTTAACCATATCATGTGTTAAGATATGGAAAAACCGGAGCTTTCCTACATTGCTGGTAGAAACAAAATGGTACAACCATTTTGCAAAACAGTTTGGTAGTTTCTTAAAAAGTTAAACATTAACCTACTGTTAGGTTACACTCCCACCAGGGCCTCCAGAATGTTAGGTCACACCTGCTGGGGTGTGGATGTCTGGTGTGCAATCCAATGCCGCATGAAAGATGCAAAGAATTGCATAGAAGTTAGATTAGAAAATATAGTTTGTTTAGAAAGCAAATTAGAGAGAGAGAGAGAAAGAAGAGATTCACCTCCCCAAGCGAGGGAAGGGGGCCAAAGCCAAGAAGCATGGTGATGGCAATAACTCAAAGAGCACAGGCCACACCAGAGTCTACTAAGGCAATGATGAATGGCTGCTAGAGGTTGAATTCCCCCTTTGATGGGGGCAGGTCATTAAGGTGGTCTGCTCCACATCATCATGAAGGAGCAGATTAAGTGCAGGTACTGCTGTCAGGTGATGGACAGCAGGCAGATGTGTGGGTTAGTCATATAATTGCTGCTATGGTGGGGTCTGTGTCACATAGGTAGGGAAGGAATGATTAGATTAACTTGGGTCTTAGGGGTGGAGGCAAATACTTGAAAGAGAAAGCCTAATTAGTACAAGACAAGCTGGAGAGGGAGTTGTGAAACAATTATCAATAGCTACCTGAGAAACAGTCTGTCCTTGGCTAGTGATTAGAAGATAAGTTAAGTGAATTGCTAGAAAAAACGAGATTTAGGCAATGTTAAAATGGCTGCTTGTTGGGTATATTAAATCCATGTTATGTCCTTTCATTGGTATATGCAGTCCACACGTTATGTCCTTTCACATACCATATGACCAGTCATTCCACTCATACCACTTGTACACAAGTGTTCACAGCAGCTCTAGCTGTAATAGTCAAAAATTAGAAACAAATCAAAGGTCTATCAGTAGGTAAGTGGATAAAAATGTGTTAAATCCATATAATACTATTCAGCAATAAAAAGGAATAAACTATTCATACATGGGTCGGGCTCGGTGGCTCAGGTTGTAATCCCAGCACTTTGGGAGGCCAAGGCGAGTGAATTGCATGAGCCCGCAGGTTCGAGACCCACCCAGACAACTTGGCGAGACCTTGTCTCTACAACAAATCAAAAATTAGCCGGGCGTGGTAGCACATGCCTGTAGTTCAGCTACTTGGAAGGCTGAGGCGGAAGGATCGCCGGAGCTCAGCAGGTCGAGGCTGCGGTGGCCAGGAGTGGCCACTGCACTCCAGCCTGGGCGACAGAGTGAGACTCCAACTCAAAAAAAGAAAAACAAACTATTCATACATGTAAAAACTTGAATAAATCTCAAAATCATAATGCTGAGTGAAAGGAGAACAAAAAAAGGAAAGAGTATGTACCATATGATTCCACTTATATAAAACTCTGGAAGATATAACCTGTAGTGACGGAAAATATCAACTGTTGTTTGGCGGAGATGGGAAAGAGTGCAAAGGGGTATAAAGACATTTTGGGGGATGAGGAATATGTTCACTATCTTGGCTGTGATTATCGTTTTATGGGTATTTTCAGGTGTGATTATGTTTTTTTGTTTGTTTGTTTGTTTTGAGTTGGAGTCTCACTGTTGCCCAGACTGGAGTGCAGTGGCCGCTCCCAGCCACCACAGCCTCGACCTGCTGGAATTACAGGCACGTGCTACCATGCCTGGCTGATTGGTTGTTTTATTGTAGAGATGAGGTCTTGCCAAGTTGCCCAGGCAGGTCTTGAACCCACGGGCTTAGGCAATCCACTCACCTCAGCCTCCCAAAGCGCGGGATTACAGGCTGAGCCACCGAGCCTGGCTACAAATACTAATTTCTATTTATATAGTAATAAATACTATAATTTGACCAAGTTGTAGATGGTATATAAGTAATGTTTCTCGGCTATATGAAGCGATATCAAGTTATTTATAACTTAGCCATTATAATAGTTATTATATTTTGTTATTTGAAAGATATTTATCCTAATTAGAACTTTTTGTCTTCTTCAGATATAGAGAACTAATATTAGAAAGTTAGTAGGGGCTGGGCTTGGTGGCTCAATCTGTAATCCCAGCACTTTGGGAGGCCGAGGCAAGTGGATTGCCTGAGCCCGTGGATTCGAGCCCCGCCCGGGCAAATTGGTGAGCCCTCGTCTCTCCAATAAATCAAAAATTAGCCAGGCGTGGTAGCGTACGCCTATAGTTCTGGTGGCTACTCGGAAGGCTGAGGCGGAAGGCTCACCGGAGCCCAGCTGGTAGAGGCTGCATAGCTGGGAGCGACCACTGCCCTCCAGTCAAAAACAAAAAAAAAGTTAGTAGGCTGGGTGCCGTGGCTCAAGCCTGTAATACCAGCCCTTTGGAAGACTGAGGCAAGAGGACTGCCTGAGATCAGGGGTTCGAGACCAGTCTGGGCAACTTGGTGAGACCTTGTCTCTACAATAAATCAAAAAATTAGCCAGGCATGGTGACTCACACCTGAAGTTCCAGCTACTTGGAAGGCTGAGGTGGAAGGACTGCCTGAGCCCAGCAGGTCGAGGCTGAGGTGGCCACAAGCGTGACTCTGCACTCCAGCCTGGGCAACATAGGGAGACTCTAACTCAAAAAATAAAATAAGTTCGTATTCAAAAATTTTCCCCAAAATTATAGTGAAAAGGAGAAAGTTACTAAAATCCAGATGTGTAAAAACAAATAAATTCAGCTATGAGCAAATGAATTCTATCTTCCAGAATTATGAGAAAGTGTTTTCTGTTATTTAAGCCATTTAAATAATGGCATCTTTTAAGTGTACTGAAATTTTTTGTAGTATATCTTGAAGAATATTATCCAGTAACTTTAAAAAGGAGTAACATCTAAGGCTTCCTAATTATTAAGTTGAAATCCAAAGAATAATATAATTGCTACTTTAACTAATAAATTAATTAATGTTTGAGTCAGGGTCTTACTCTGCTGCCCAGAGTGTCATGGCTCGCCTAAGCCTCAACCTCCTATGCTCAAATGATCCTTCTGTCTCATCCTCCCAAGTAGCCTCCCAAGTAGCTGGGACTACAGCAGCATGCCACCACACCCAGCTGATTTTTTTTATAGAGACAAGGTCTCACTATGTTGCCCAGGCTGGTCTCGACTCCTGGGCTCAAGCAATTCTCTCGCCTCAGCCTCCCAAAGTGCTGCATTATAGGTGTTAGCCACTGTGACCAGCCATTTGCTACTTTTAAAAAGAGAAAGGAATAAAAGCAATTTGAAATTTAAGATATAAAAAAGGTAACAAATGAAGGAACTCTAACAATATTTAGATTATCAAGCTAAAATATTTTTATTGGAATAGTTCATAAAATTAATGCACTGCTAGGAAGGATATGAAATCACTTAATGGATCTGTCTAAACTGGACTATTCACCTGTTTATAGTGAAGTACACCGAAGGTATTCATTGGGGGAAAAAAACCTGTCGGGAAATAAAAAGAATCTCATAATGCACAAGTTTCATTAACTGTGCATTTTTTCAAGCATTCCAATCCCACTCAGAAATAACACATGATATCTGAGTGTTTTAAAATCCAAGGCCTTTAATTCAGTTTTCAGTAATGACTGTAAATGCCTTCACAAAACTTCTTCTTCACTGTAATAGAAGGCACTACACATCACATAACACCCTTAAAGCAGTGATTCCTTCTGATGCTGGTGGAGATAAAACATTAAATGGCAGGGTTTAGACCATAAAAATTTCTTCTTCTTCTTAAAAAAAAGACAAATCCGAAAATCACACAAAAAAATTAAGTTACAAGTCAGTCTTTTTCAGTTTCCCAATGCAGTTTTATGTTATTTTTACAAGTACATAATTTGAAATTAGGATAAACCAGGTAAGTATGATATGGTTTTCAACATGTGTTATATTTCAGTTAAATATAGTAAATATAAAGACACCAGTGTCATGCTAATTGGCATCTTTTGCTACTCTTTAGCTGTGCAAAATAAACTTGAAATGATACAGCTTGTAGTGGTATAATTAAAAAGATCCTTGATACGACACTAACAACTTTCAAATTCTAGTCACAAATTGTATATAAATTGTAAGATTATTAAAATATACCTTTCTGAAAAATAATAAGATGACCATTTATACCTAAATAAGGTTTCCCAGAAAGTTATGAAATACTTTAGCATATAAAAGTAGTTGCCCCCTTTCTGAAAAGTCAACTGTTGTTTCACAAAATAACTCATATGATCTAAGGCAAATGATTTCTATCAAATGCCATATTCTTTCTATGACTCTGAGGTATGCTTCAAGAGACTGTATCCATGAGAAAAGGGCACATTTGAGTATTAGACCACAGTTACAGACACAAGAAGCCTCTCTTGGGTCGGGAATGCCCTTAAGAGTTACATCAACAGAGAACAAGAGAGAGCTTCTGAAGCCATTTCTTTTACAAATACATACAACTAAATTTGGCTATTTAGAGGGTAATTCAAGACACAGCTATTATCTTATGTGCTTAGTCATGTATGCCTATTTTAAATAGGGCTTCTACAGGATGCTCTTATTCAAACACAAACCAATCTTATTCTACGAAATCACATTGTTCTATTTTTGGAAAGGCAGTATAGTTTAAACAAAACAGAAAAAACCCCCAAAACAAAACCAGCTGTAACAGTGATTCAGGCAAAACTCCCATGTCAAACAACAGTAGGAAATGTGTTCTGAAAAATAATAATTTTGGGGAAAAGACACTGCCAAACAAATAATGCTGGAAAGCAATCTTATAATCACTCAAATAATTATCACAAAGGACTTATGATGAATGCCTTTAAAATAAAACTTCAGTTTAAAAAATAGCTGATTGTGAGATTTATAATTAGAATGTCTTTGAAAAGTATTCAAGCTAATTATTTTAATCAGGCCCAATTTGTAAAGGGTAAGAGAAACTTCCACAATTAATACTAGATGCCCTCTTACCTTTGGAGAAACTGCTAAGGTTACATTTTGATAATAGGAAATGAAAATGTACATGACAACTGAAAAAATCCCACCATGCCTACTAATAAACACAATGGGCAGCAAGAAACTTATTTTTAAGCAATGATCACTCAGTAGAATGCCTTATAAAATTACATATCATAATCAAGCTAAGAAAAAGTTTCAAGACTAGCAGCTGAACTTTGTGAAACATATAGGACAAAAGAAGGCACTACATAAGCATCAATTACTTCTAATTACAGCTGGACAGTTCAGTCTTTTCCTTCTTAAGATAGCCAGTGTGAATGTTATTTTTATATCCCCCTGAGTTTTAACATGATTGGGCAAAGCAGCACCAGTTTAAAAAAATATCTGCAATGCCAGCACTGCAGTATGGAATCACTAATACTGATGGCCCCACAGGTCTCTCATAAGAGCACTTTAGAACATGATTAAAAATATAGAAATGCCTTTCAGTGTTTGAGTATTAAAGTGGAATCAACACAGACATCCATTTCCAAAAATAATGCACTAAAACGGTTCACCGATACAATACAGTCTTTCCACCCTGTATCTAGCATTCACGGCTATTTCCACACTGCTGCCACCGAGAGATCTCCTTTGTGCGTCTTGTTGAAGTGTCAGTATGCTTCATAGTACATAGTCCTTCTTTTTGGCTGGAAAATCCTGGCAAATATCATGTCATGCCTGTTTTGAGCAGTATCCCTTGCAGGTCCTCTGGCAACGCTAAGATAATTGCATCTATATGTGTCCGTAACTTTTCCATAGTGTCAGGTTTCACAGGTAAACGCTCTCGATCAGCCTGCAACTACATAAGGAATATTTGGCAGCATTTAAATTAGCCTTAGAATTTGTATTAATACACTATATTCTCTAAATAAATAGATTTTTTAAATGTTTTAAATTCTTTAGTTAATTTATTTTTATTTAACTCTTTAATTTTTTTAGAGAGGGATCTTACTCTGTTGTTGCCCAGCACAGTGGTGTAATCATAGCTCACTGCAGCCTTGAACTACAACCTTGACTCAAGTGATCCTTCTGTCTCAGCCTGCTGAGTAGCTGGGACTGCAGGAGCATGTTACCACACCCGATTTTTTTCTTTTTTCTTTTTTCTTTTACTTTTTGTAGAGATGAGGGCTCGCTATGTTGCCTAGACTGGTCTCCAACTACTGAGCTCAAGCAATCCTCCTGCCTCAGTCTCCGTAAGTGCTGAGATTAAAGGTGTGAGCTACTGCGTCTGGTCAACAATGTTTTTGTAGAGCTCATTAGATTCCATGTAAATAACTTTATAATAATATGGCATCATTATGATGTGCCTGAATGACCAAGTATTTTTAGCAAGCTCTTTCATCAGTTGACCAATCTCAAGTTCTATCATTGAAAAAGTTACTTCTGGCCAGGTTCGGTGGCTCAGCCTGTAATCCCGTGCTTTGGGAGGCTGAGGGTGAGTGGATTGCCTGAGCCCGCGGGTTCAAGACCCGCCTGGGCAACTTGGCGAGACTTCATCTCTACAATAAATCAAAATTAACCGGGCATGGTAGCACGTGCCTGTAGTTCCAGCTACTTGGAAGGCTGAGGCGGAAGGATCGCCAGAGCCCAGCAGGTCGAGGCTGTGGTGGCCGGGAGCAGCCACTGCACTCCAGTCTGGGTGACAGGGTGAGAGTCCAACTCAAAAAAAAAAGAAAAAGTTACTTCTGTGATATATCATGGACTGTCAGCTCAAATGAGAAGACAGTATCTTCAACAGAAAAGTCAATTTGGTTACATACCAGTTTATTTTTCAGCTTCAATACAAGATCTACTGTTTCTACTTCTGTGTGTTTCTGGATCCAGAGAAGTAAGTCCTAGAATAATTAGTAAGTCCCAAGTCAGTAAATATTCAAAAAAATAATCAAATCTATTTCAATAGGCAAGGGCACTGTGAAGGAAGGACAAGAAGGAAAAGGAGAACAAGGTATTTAACCCAGATATAATGCTATATCTGGGAATAATTCTCATGATATTCTAGTAACTGTCAATTAGCTGGCTTTTACATTAGCCAGAATTGTCTAATATTTGCAAGTAAAACAAAATATAAGAAAATTCCTTTCTGAAATGGACTTTTCTGGTCAAGCAAGAAAAACAAAATTGCAACTCAAACTGTAATATTAACTCCCAACCCCCCCAACTAAGCTGTGAGTAACTTATAAGGATAATTAGCTAACAAATCAAAATAACTAAGCATGAATATACATTTACTAGATATAAATTCTACATTTTCACATAGGCTCTTTCTGGTCTTATGCTGTGGTTGCCTTTATCATATTCTTCTCAAAGTTGGAGTCACTGGGAGTTTATGATTAGAAAGTTAACACTGAGGCTATCCCACTTCACATTTAAAGCTAAATACAAATGAAAATAAGACTATCCCTAAAAAAAAAAAAAAAAAAGGAAAATAAGACTATCCTTTACATATTCATAAGTGTTAATTTAAAATAGCCTGGTGATAAATTATAGAATGTAAAAAATCAGTTCAAACACAAAAAAACTGTTAATATTAACTAGAAAAAAGGTGAACAAGTTGTACTAGAAAAGATCTGTAGTTAACTGGTTAGATAAAAATCCTGACTTCCTCTAGTAGTATACTGGTAAATATTTTAACAAACAGTTCTCCAGAAAAGGTCTCTGATTTGTAGCATTTGCCAACTTCTATGGTATAATACTCCCACTGTAGTTGATTTAAAGTTGCCAACCCAAGGCTGCGAAATGGAGGACTGGAAAGAGATGTGCCCCATCAGCTCTTATAAGTCAATTCGAGTGGACTTCAGCACACTGCTGGCTCCACTACTTAGCAGAGATGTGATCTGAGCCAAGTCACTTGACTTCTAAGCTACAGGTACCCCACTATACAGTTTATTACACGTCTACCTTAATGAATTATTGTAAAGATTATAAGACTATCCATATAAAGCTAAACAGTCCCTAGCACATAGCACATCACCTAGAAAAGTTAGCTATTATTACTATTGATAAAGAAATGGATACAAGTATGATCTTTAACCTCTAAGAATAATTATTTCAGTAGTTGTTAATTGTCACACAGTTTTCTAACCTCTTCACAAAGAGCTTCTAGATGGAGTGCCTCCAATTTTTGGGTCATTTCCTTCCGTCGGGTCTTAAACCAGCCATCAAAATTTGGAGACTTTAGGAAATGTCTAGAAAAATAAATTTTTAAAAAGCAAAGTTTGATTATGACTTATTTGCTCTCCTCAGTACCTTTTCCTATCTATAGCACAGAGAACCATGGGATTTTAAACAATAAAATTTTTAAAATGTCTAAGTCCATTTTTGGTTTTATTTTATATTTTGACACAGGGTCTCACTTTGTCTCCCAGACTGTAGGTGCAGTGGTGTGATCATAGCACACTGCAGCCTCAACCTGTCCTAAGCTCAAGCAATCCCTTTGCCTTGGACTCCCAGAGTGCTGGGATTATAGGTGTATGTCACTGTACCCAGCTTTCTTTTATTTTTATTTATTTATTTATGTTATTATTATTATTTTTTTATCTTTGTTTTTTAAATCTTTGTTGTTGTTTTTTGTTGGAGTCTCACTGTTGCTCAGCTGGAGTGCAGTAGCATGCTTACGGCCACTGCAGCCTTGACTTGCTGGGCTCAAGTGATCCTTCCGCCTCAGTCTTCCAAGCAGCTGGAACCACAGATGCATGCCACCATGCCTGGCTAATTTTTTAATTTATTGTAGCAACGAGGTCTCACCAAGTTTCCCAGGCTGGTCTCGAACCCCTGGGCTCAGGTAATCCTCTCGCCGTTTGTTTATTTATATATATATTTGAGTTTATATCTATCTGTCTGTCTGTCTATCTGTCTATTTTTTTTTTTTTTTTTGAGTTGGAGTCTCACTCTTATTGCCCAGGCTGGAGTACAGTGGCACGCTCATGGCCACTGCAGTCTCAACCTGCTGGGTTTAGGTGATCCTTCCGCCTCAGCCTTACAAGTAGCTTGAACTACAGACACATGCCACCATGCCCAGCTACTCTTTTGTTTTTAAATAAAGAACTACAAGCTGGGCACGGTGGCTCATGCCTGTAGTCTCAATTAGTCAAGAGGCAGAGGCAGGATGATCACTTAAGCCCAGGAGTTCATGGCTGCAGTGAGTTATGATCATTCCACTGCACTCCTAGCCTGGGCAATGAAGCAAGACCTGACTCTAAAAAAATTAAATAAAGAAAGAAAAAAGAGAAAAAAAACTAACCGGTAAAGTCCAATCCAATCGCCTTTTATTCTAGAGGTTAGCTGAGGTCCTGTTTTCTCAAGTGTTTTCATAAATTCTTCTGGAAGAAATTGTCTTAATTGGGGTGGACTCTAGAATAGAGGACATACTATATTTAGAAATTAGAAATTGATATATTCACAGAAGTTACTTACAGTTAGAGAATTCAAATAGGATTTTATTTGAATATGTTCATACCTTCCATGGGGAAATACTTTTCTGCAAAGGCATTAAGCTTGCCACGTATCTTTCCTAAAACCAAGAGAAAAGTTAATAAAATTAGACATTTCTGGCCAGGTGCAGGGGCTCATGCCTATAATTCCAGCAGTCTGGGAGGCCGAGGTGAGAGGATTGCCTAAGCCCACGGGTTCAAGACCAGCCTGGGCAACTTGGCGAGACCTCATTTCTATAATACCTAAAAAAAATTAGCTGGGCATGGTGGTTCCAGCCGTAGTTCCAGCTACTTGGAAGGCTGAGGTGGACTGCCTGAGCCCAGCAGGTCGAGGCTGCAGTGGCCATGAGCATGCCTCTGCATTCCAATCTGGGCAAGACAGTGAGACTCCGACTCAAAAAAAAAAAAAAATTAGATATTTCTATCCAAAGTGTCTTCAAAAATATTTAAACAGACATACTTAAAAGGAATAGGCCTCCATGTTTTTCATCATATCCTCTTTCAATAGACAGCAACAACTCCATCACTCCCAACAGATATAACTAAATTTGGATTGAGTTGGGAAGCTAAATTTTCAACAATAATTTAACTAAATCTTGGGTAACCCAAGGGCCTACATATTTTCTTTAAAAAAAAAAAATTTTAGACGAATCTCAAAATGTGTTAGAAAATGTACTCAACATTCTACATGCACGATCTCTTATAATCCTTGTAACCATCCTATGGGGTAGGTATTATAGGGAAACTGAGGCTTCAAATGGCCAAGTAACCTGACCAAGGTAACATGGCCTAGACCTGAATTCAGGTCTACTTGACTTTAGTCCATGTTCTTAAGCACTACAGTAAAGTTTCCTTATTTAAACAAACATTTAAATGGAATAAAATAAATTGACATCCATCTACCAAGAAAGAATATTTCTTACTAAAATATAAAGCAAAGATCTCCAAGATGCCCCCACTTAATGTTCATAGATAGACTACATTAGTAAATACATAAAATCTATGATGCAGTCTCTAGACTAGGATCATATCATGGTACTGCCTGTATTTTAATATGACATTCTTAGAATAACCATATCATCTAGTCATTTATTCCATAAATATTTGAGTGCTACCATATGTCAGACTGAGGAAATAATAATGAGCAAGACAGATATTGTTCCTGTCATCTTGGAGTTACAGTCTCAAAGATATTACATCGAATTGTACTCCAGAAAACAATAACAGCAAAAGATACTCCAGAGTAATTTCTTTAAGGTACAAAATGCGATAACTATATCATATGAGGGGGAACCCAAAAAGGTCAGAATTTATTTATAAAAAATTGTGTAGTTATTCTTATATGTTTAAACTTCAGTCACCTTCGAAGTACTCTCTGATGCAATACCTATCGAGATGCTTTTTCCACTGCTCAAAACAGTTTTTGAACTCGTCAATTTTGATGCTTTGTAGTGCTTCTACTGTTTTTTTGTTTCACCTCTTCCACATGAGCAAACATGTCCCTTTGAGGACTTTTTTTATTCAGGGAAACAAAAAAAAGTAGCTTGGGGTGAGACTAGGTAAATAGGGAAAGTGGGGAACAGAGGTCATGCCATTTTTGGTCAAAAACTGCTGAACATTCAGAATGGTGTTAGCAGATTGTGTAAATCACCCATCATGAAATGGACAAATGTATTGAAACAATTTCCAGAAAAATTCACTGAAGTCAAATGCGGCCTCTCACAACACTAGCTGGTATACAGATGCCAGTGGGTTCCCAAAACACTTACCTAGTGGAGGAGGCCTACGCTACAAGGGGCCCACCCTCCAAAAAATAATTCCCTCATATGTCATATCAATTATCTCATTTAAGATTTATGACACGTTGAAAGGTACTTAGGGAGAATAGAATCAGCCACATTTTACAGGTAAGAAAAATGAGAGCCAAGAAAGGGAGTGACTTACCAAAGTTGCACTGTTAATACTAGAAGAAAGAATGTTAATACAAAGGTCTCTTGCAAAAGGCTCTATTTTTAATCACTATACAAACCAGGCAGGCAAAACACACAACTTAAGATTGTGGAGGATAGGGAAATTCATATACTCTTAGACAAATCATTAAATTATGCAAAGATATATTTTTTAACTCACTAATGGAATGATGAAACTTTGTGTCAGTTCCAAAAAATAGCGTCGGAGAATAACACTTTGAGCCTCAGAAGGACGTTTCTGTTGTACACCCTTAAAAGAGGAAACAATGAGAATCTATAATCTAGTTCAGAGTAGAACACAATGGATAATTATCAAGTTATACTTGATATATTAAAAAACTAAAACTTTGGCCAGGCACGGTGGCTTAGTCTGTAATCCCAATACTTTAGGAAGTTGAAGCAAGAGGATTACCTGAGCCTGGGAGTTCAAGACCAGCCTGGGCAATTGGTGAGACCTTATCTCTATAATAAATCAAAAAATAAGCCAGGTATGGTAGCGTTCACCTGTGGTTCCAGCTACCTGGAAGGCTGAGGTGAAAGGATTGTCTAAACCTAACAGGTGGAGGCTGCAGTGGCCATGAATGTGACACTGTATTCCAGCCTAGGTGACAGAGTGAGACTCCAACTAAAAAAAAAAAAAAAAAAAAATCTAAAACTTCATCTTGAAGTAATTTAATTTGAAGTTCACTGTTTACTATCCCATGAAAATAATCCTTAGAGCAAAATATAAGAGTCTTTAACATTGGATAACATCATTCATTTCCATACTTTAAAAAAATCAGTTCACAATGAAGACAATCTTTATTTCATATTTACTATATTAATACTACTTACATTTTTTAAAATGCTATCTTCTATCGTTAGATGCTAACGATAGAATGTAGGCCTTTTTCACGATAACTCCTGTTTCTAGAAAGATTGGCACGTGTGTGTAGCTGGAGCCCCAATATTCAAGTTCATAATTGCTGTTACTTTAGCCTCCTGATTTTTATGAAGCTTTGGTTAAAAAGAGAGACCCCATTCCATATTATTATATAAAAAGCACATATTGCATACCTGGATATTATATAACTAAACAAGAAAATTTAATAATATAAGCAAGTAATTACCTTCTGTAATTGTTTTATGATCTCTTCATCTCTATTTAGATATGGCTTATAAGAAGTATAAACTCCTAAGAAGTAAAAAAAAAAAAGAAGGTAAACAGAAAAACCCAAGTACATATGTAAATATATATTTAGAAATCAGTAAGATTCAATACCAGGTTTAGAATCCAAAGTCTTTAGGTTCTTCAATTTTTTCACTTTAACCTGCTTAGGAATTTCACCTAAAGGAAATAGCACAAAGATGTTTATAATTACCCTAATCATATACATTATAAAAACTGGAATTTTATAAGATTAATAATCCACTGGCTACTTATTACTAAGTTAAAGATGTTACAGTTAAAGCATTCCTCTTTTTTTTTTGATTTGGAGTCTCACTCCATCGCCCAGACTGGAGTGCAGTGGCACACTCCCAGTCACTGCAGCCTTAACCTGCTGGGCTCCGGTGAGCCTTCCAAGTTAGCCAGAATTACAGGCACGCGCAACCACGCCCGGCTGATTTTTTGATTTATTGTAGAGATGAGGTCTCACCAAGTGGCCCGGGCTGGTCTCGAACCTGTGGGCTCAGACAATTCACTCGCCTCAGCCTCACAGGCTGAGCCACAGAGCCCAGCCAGCATTCTTCTTAACATCAGTGAATACTTAAGAGTTCAGGCCAGGCACGGTGGCTCACGCCTGTAATCCCAGCACTTTGGGAGGCCAAGGCAAGAGGACTGCTTGAGCCTAGGAGTTCAAGACCAGCCTGGGCAACATGGCAAGACCTCATCTCTACAATTAAAAAAAAGCCAAAAAACCCCAAACTAGACAGTCATGGTGGTGAGCATCTATAGTCTCAGCTACTTAGAAGGCTGAGATGGAAGAATCGCCTAAAGCCAGCAGGTGTAGACTATGGTAGCCATGATTGTACCACTGCATTCGAGCCTGGGTGACAGAGTAAGACTCCAACTCAAAGAAAAAAAAGAGGGACTTCATTCCTGGTATTCTAAAACTCGATAAAATAAATACTGGATTATTACAACAGTACAGAAACAATTCATGTTAAATTATATAAAATTGGTATTTGATCTTTCATTAATATCTATCATTATTTAATTTTTTTTCCATTTTGTCACTCAACCTGTAATTAAAAATCTCTGTGCCAAATACATAAATTATCCATCTGAGCCACAAATGGACAGGATTTCAGAGCAGGTTGCTATGTTGAATAGCTTGTTTAATATATTCAGGGCCCGACTCTTAGGGTCAAAGAAGAATAAAATACTCTTTAAGAGTAAATAAAATAGAAATAAATCCTTAAGTGACTGTGTAGATGCAGTCTTCAAGGGGTTTTTTTTGGTATGTCCCCAAATTCTGCTTTTGCATTATAGAAACTTACACTGCCACCAGGTAGTGATGTTGTGTTCAACAACACAGGTCTGAGGCACAGACGGACAGGGCTCCTGAGCAGGCTGCTGTGTTGAACAGCTTGTTTGGTACATGCAAGGCCCTACCTAGTCTTAGGGTCAAAGAAAGCTAAAACCTAAACAACCCTTAAAATAAGCAGAAAAAAATGCCTCAAGGTATATATTTAAAAGTGTCATGAACACATGTAAATTTAACCAACTTTCCTTCTCTCTCCCATTCTCTGACCTTCCTCTTCTCTGCATGAGTAAAAGTACAACCTAACAACTGAAAGACAATCTAGAGATTATACAATTCAAGACTCTAAATTTACAAAATGTCTTTGTTTAAATTGCTATTTAGATCAAACTGCTAATTGTGGTACATATGGGGGTGGCATTACAGGATCAGGGAACATTTTCACTTGTAATCTTATATTGTTAAAAAATTTTAAGAGCACGGACTATGGCAAAACAGATATTTTAATACACCTTTTACTTTGAAATAGTTGACCCTTGAACAACATGGTTTATTCAACAACCACCATGCAGGTCCACTTATACATAAATTTTCTTCTACCTCTGCCATCCCTGAGACAGCGAGACCAACCCCGCTTCTTCCTCAGCCAACTCAACGTGAAGATGATGAGGATGAAGACCTTTATGACAATCCAGTCCCACTCAATTAATAGTAAATATATTTTTCTTCCTTATTATTTTCTTAATAACATTTTCTTTTATCTAGCTAACATCATTGTAAGAATACAGTATATTATATACAACATATAAAACATGTATTAATTGACTTTATGTTATCAATAAGGCTATTAGTAGTCAGCAGAAGGCTATTAGTAGTTAAGTTTTTGGGGAGTCAAAAGTTTTACTGCTTAGGGGGTCAATATCCCTAACTCTCGTTGTACAAGGATCAACTGTAATTTCAATCTTGTAGAAAAACTGCGAAGTAATACAGTCTATACTCCAATTCTGTCAACTGCTTCATAACAACTTTAAACAAAAGCTTGTTAAAAAAGTGATGTCCAGCCGGGCTCGGTGGCTCAGCCTGTAATCCCGCGCCTTTGGGAGGATGAGGTGAGTGGATTGCCTGAACCCGCGGGTTCAAGACCCGCCTGGGCAACTTGGTGAG